GGAGACTCAGTTCCTGGTTCTGCCACAGACTCCTGAGGTGACTCTGGGCAGGTCACTTATCTCCCTTTGCCTCAGTTTCCCATCTGTGAGGCGGCAGTGTGGTCTAGTGGATGCGGTGCTGGAGCAGGTGTCAGGGTACCTGAGTTCTGTTCCCAGCTCATCCGCTGACCGGCTGTGTGACCCTGGGCAGTCACTTCACCTCTGATTCCCCCTTCCACATCCATCTGGACTGTCAGCTGTGTGTGGCAGGGAATCTCTCTCTCACTAATTGTATGTACAATACCGGGCGTGGTAGGGACTCTGAGGTTATACTGTGATATACCCAATAATGGGCCATGGAGATGTGTCCCCTTTAGGAGGGGAGAGGCCTTGATTCACTTACTTAGGGTTGTGCAGGGCAGGCTGCTGTGTGGAGAAATAGGACCTCGCTTTCGAGCCACATCTTTTACCGACAATATACATGAAATTCATTCTGCCACAGGGCTCAATTCTAACCAGGGAAGCTTGGTACAGCGGAGTTACCCACCAGCTGCAAATGGATGGATTTGTTAAATCTGGGTGGGTGGATGGGTTTTAGTGATACATTTTTTGAGAGAGCAGGATCTTTTTAACGGTAAATGGCCAGTGCTACCTTGGTCTGAATTAGGAATACAATAATCCCATGGTTTATGTGGGGAAAGCACAAGTTCTAGTCTGACACTACAGTTTGAAAAGGTGAAACGGCTGCAAACTTTCCCCATGGTTCACTTTGTAAATCAATCAATAAATCTAGGCTTGCAAAATCGCCAGTGTCCTTGAAAGGAAAAGGGCAAAATGTTGGGGGTGGTTTCAGGCTGGGAGAGACTTAAATCAATTCAAAGTGGAGCATGTTCTAACCAGGCCTGGGAACATTCAGATTGACCTGCCCTGGACACTTTATGGAGTGGGAAGAGCTAATATGTGTGTGAGCAGCAGGTGTCTTTCCTGCTTTAGAAACATAACCAACTGACTGCATGCAAACTCACCCTGTCTTGTGGGTCAGTTCATTAACAAAGAATCATAAGATAACATACACCCCTATATATTCCAAGTTGCAGTGGGGGAGGTTTAGGTTGGATATTAGGAAAAACTTTTTCACTAGGAGGGTGGTAAAACACTGGAATGCGTTACCTAGGGAGGTGGTCGAATCTCCTTCCTTAGAAGTTTTTAAGGTCAGGCTTGACAAAGCCCTGGCTGGGATGATTTAATTGGGGATTGGTCCTGCTTTGAGCAGGGGGTTGGACTAGATGACCTCCTGAGGTCCCTTCCAACCCTGATATTCTATGATTCTATGATTAGATTCAAACTTTCTCACCCAGACTGGGCTGCTCTTAGGGCTCCTCCCTTGGGACTGCTCTGCCACACCCTAGATCCTCACTCCACAGGTAGGCCCTCCTGGTGCCTTATACCAGTGCAGACAATGAATTACTTCATTCAGTGAACCAGCAGAACCCACTCAGCTTTCTTCCAGCAAGATTGACACTTGGTATCTGGGTGGGCATTTCAGGCAAACCCTGTTAGCTTGTTATGCTACGATTAGCATGATGTCGTATTCCTGCCCCCTCATGAAAAGTGACTGACAACCCCCTGTGTGGAACAGCGGCTAGTGACGTGGAGAGGTATGGAGAGTGGCTGGAGAAGGTAAAGGGTCACGCTGTCTGCATAGCCGTGCAATGCTCTGTGTGCTGTCGGCGGCAGTGAGGAACAGGCAGATGATGGCCTGTGGGCTGCTAAGTGGAGGTAATGTTCAGAGGAGAAGAACCTATTTCTTTAACAATGATTTATGCCCTGTCGCCAGCTCTTGCTGTTTTATCATGCAACTTGCGTTATTTGGTGTGTTTCGTGAAGCCCCAGCCCCTGGACCCAGGTGGTTAGATGAGACTTTCCATTTTCATTTTAAAAAAATGAAAGTTTCTGGCCCGCTTGGTTGCAGAGAAAAATTTGAAGACATGATCCCTTGTGGCACGGTAGCTGGCCCACTAAAGGAAATTGGACTCAGCTCTCCGGGTCCAGGCCAGGCTCCCTGCTGGGCCAATGAAGAGGGCAGGGCAGCATCTGGGAAGCTGTCCGAGGCCTGAGAGTGACTTGAGAGCAGACTGGCTCTGTGAGGAAGAGCAGTTCCTGGGGAGGGCTGGAAAGCAGGAGTGTAGCAGCCTCTGGCTGGGGTCCCCAAGCTGGAGAGCCAGGGCTGGGACACTGCTGAAAGTCGGAAGGAGCAGCAGAAGGAACCTGCTGGCTGTAAGTTGCAGGGCCCGAGGACGAGGAGGGGAGCAGCTAAGGGGCGTCTCCTGGGCATCCCAGAGGAACCAGGAGAGGCTCCCAACGGAGAGGCTCTGAGGGTCCCACTGGGAAGAGCGGGGTTAGGGCTGGGGTGGCTGTCCTGGTGGAGGCACAGAGGATGGCTGGGAGAGTCCAGGGCTGGCGGAAGACACCAGGGTGGTGAGAACAGAGCCATGTTTTTACAGATTCAGCGCATGGGCCTGACATGGATAACGTTGTGCCTTGGGACTCTTGCACTGCGTTTCGGTTAATAAACTAGGATTGATTTGAGGACATGCTTGTATTGGACTTACTGTGCCCTCAAGAGGCACCCTGAGGTGAAGCTACTTGCAGGGCTGCCCTGAGGCCACAAGGGGGTGCCCAAGAAGAGGCCATTTGTTTACACCCCTATATATGCCAAGACTAGAAGGCCAATAAACAGACCCCAGCCCTGGTTATTTGTTAAATCTCGTTATTTTGGGGGGCCTGACGCACGACTCTTGGGCGCTTGGGGTTGGCCATGCTGTTTTCTCCTATGATTTGTACTCCAATCATGTCTAGAGACCCCTGCGAAGCTGATGGTGCTGGGTGCTGTAGAAACATAGAATCAGAGACCGTCCCTGTCCTGAAAAGCTTGTTGTTACAGCGTTGCAGGGGCACCTGCAAGCCCCAGTCCCCGAGCAGGACTAGTTGCAGCATAGACACAGAAGAAGAAGACAGTCCCGACTCTAAACTGACAAGCAGGCAGAGGGCTAAGTGGGAAGGGGTGGTGCACAGCGGGATCTAGCACAAGCCCCCCTTGTGTTCCTGTGAAGCACGACACCTTCCCTGCCCCCCGGCCAAAAGGTCTCTCCAGCCACCAAATCTCGTGTTTCTTGCTTAACATGCTGGATTCTTCCAAGCCGTTCAGAGCCCTTCTTGAACACGCACCGGGTGCTGACAACAGCCCTTTATCCCCAAAATGTTCGTGGTGCTTCATGTGACCCTCTCCCCTCCAGGCGTCGCATTCACTGCAGTTGTTTGATGTGCCAGTTCTTTTATTTTTTAAAGTTTCAGGACACCTGAGTCCTGCACAGCCTAATAAGAGGACTATTGAGAGAGCAGCTTTCATCGCCCCCCTTCCCCGTTGGCCGCAGGATGGGTGATGGGCTGAGAAGCGGGCAATGTGGGGGAGTCTGGGAAACCCTTGGGCAGGGTGTGTGTGGAGTGTGGTTTCTGAGGTCTGCTCTTCAGTGTGTTGCTGTGTGAGTTTTATCATCTCACACACACACACCCCCAAAACACACAAGCAGGCTCCACACATGCACATACAAACCTAAGGAGACATTATCAGCACAGCACACTAAGTGTTGCCAAGTGTAACCCAGGAATCCCACCCTTGTCCTTGTGGGGGGGGGGGGACCATCCGCCCACTCTGGGGCTATGCACTGTGTTTGGGATTTGACCCCACGGTGTCCCTTTGCCAGCAGCATCCATTGTCTCCGTTCCCAAGGGGAAAGCCTTGCGCTTGTGATGGGGCCACAGCACCTCACACCCTCACGGATGGAGGCAATTCCTGGGAGAAGGCCTGTAGCTCAGGTCCAGCCTCATTGGCACCATCTGCAGCAGTCTCTTCCCGGCAGTCTCGCAGCTGCCCAGGGTTCCACTCGAGCATTTCCTCGCATTTGGAAATTCCCCAAAAGCCCCTGCCCACAGAACAAGGTACAACCAGAACCGTTCTTTTCTCTACAGGTTCCTGCACGGCGCCCATCACCATGGTATCTGAGCGCCAGAGCAGCTGGAATAGTAACCAACATGTTGTCCAACTGCGCAGAATGATACAAAGGAGCAGAGCATGCTGCTCCTCGGAGCGGCATGGAGGCCTCAGTGAAACAAGGGGCAGAATGAGTAGCCACCTTCAACAGAGACTGTTTATCCCCGCTCCCCAGCCCCAGGACGGAAAGAAAGGGCTACAGAGGGTTTCCTGCAAAAGACAGGGTCATTCAAAGTCAGCTGAGTGGGCAGTGGGGACAGAGGGAGGATGGGCCCCGCTCAAGCTTTTAGCTCATGAAAAGCAGTTAGAGACGAGCAGACGAGGTGCGGTGAATGTTCTTCAGTGTTTTCACCCAATTCACTGGCCTGTGGCTGCACATGCCTTTGGGGTTCACTTTCTGCGAAGGCGCTAGGGAGACCGACAGTGGGAATTTATTACCATCATTCTTATTATCTGCATCGTGATAGCACCACAGTCCTAGAGCCCAAGGCCCCATGGTGCTAGGTGCTGTACAGACAGAACAAAGGGACAGTCCCTGCCCCCAGAGCACCATAATCTCAGCAATCTGTTGGCCTGTCTGCGGCTTAGTGATTTCTGGTCTCTAACTGGAGCCACCTGAAAGAGGCCAGATTTTCATAAAGCACCTGCCCTCCGAAAGTCAGGGCCCTTGCACAGGTCTCCAGCAGGGCCCCCAACAGCTGCCTCTGCGGGGATTTGAACCTATGGCGCCTCAGACTGTAGACAGTTTAAAGCTGGTGCTTAGACCAGTCAATCCCAGCGTGGCATAATATGGGCTTCTCGTCCCTGTGTGAATGCCTCTGCCTTTCTTTAATGGCTCCTCCCTTGGAGGATTTTTATCCTCGGCAGGGAATTTGGTGTCATCTCTGAAGGGACATACACACCCCGCCCCCGGACGGCACTGGGGTTTGTGTTAAGGTGGCTCCTGGTGGTGCCTTTGCATTTCTCGCCTGGCTGCTGATCAGCCTGTGACACACTGCTGCCGGCAGCGCTCATTGCTGTCGGAAGTGTGCAGTGCATGACGCTTTCCTGCTGCCGTGGAGGGGTCTATTTCCGTTCTCTCCAGCTGAGCAGCAGGAGCAGCCGCCTGAAAATCCCCCTTCACTTTCCCAAGGCTCCATCGGTGAGTGTCAGCTGTACGCTGAGGGTCTGGGGGTATTTGGAATGATGCAGGAGACAGGCTGGTGCCAAGGGCTGAAGCCACCTGCTTCCTCTGGGTGCTGGGATCAGGGTGGACAGCTTATGCCTGTTGCCACATGTGGATTCCTTCGAGGGGGGCTGTTTATTTCTCTCATCGTCATTAGCAGCTTTAAAAGGGATCTAAAAGCAACAGCACCTCCTCATCCTGCCCCCCACGCGGATGGCGCCAATGCCCCGGTTTGTGATCTCTGGGTGGGCGTGTGTGTGTGCTGACTGACTCTCTGATTTCATTCACAGGGGCCGTACTGCACGGGGAAGGGTTTTGCTCAGGTCCATTTTAGGGCTGAGACAGGCAACACCTTACGACACACACACAGAGCACAACCATTCCCCCTCGACCCCTATGTATAGCCAAGGGCTGGGCGTGCTATGATGCTGTCAGATTGTACAGGGCACTCTGGGTATCCGGGCTAACTCTATAGCCACGTGGGGGTGTGCTGGGGCATTGAATCCAGCAGTCTCATAATCCCTGATCACATCTGTTCAGCTGCCCCCTCCCTCCCTCTGCATAGATTATCATGCACATTAAAAGCCTGTTCCCTTCCTCCTCTCCAGGTATCTCTTTCCCTTGCCTTTTCGCTAAGCTGCTCACAGAGCTGGCCAGTCCAGGGAACAGTGTGATTTGGGGAGAAGGAACCAGCAATTGCTTTTTGCAAGCTGAGGGAGGGAAGGGGAAGGACGTGGATCCCCTGCAGACATCCCACAAGGCAGGGCTTTAGGGGCCTTGGGATCCCTCTGTCTCTGTGACTCCCCCTCCGTCTCTGTGGCAGGATCATTCAGCACAGCTCTCTTCTGCGCCTCTGGGCACTATCCATCACATGCTACCAGCACAGCACATTGTGCTCTCTGATGCGGTGTGTGTACACACACACACACGTCTCTGCTTGCCATGGAAACCTTGCCATAGCAACCACGTTGGAATCAAAAATTAAACAGGCAGGGCAGGTGAGTGTGTGACCCCTTCCTGGTAGCCCATCAAATGGGCCTGATTCTCCTCTCCCTTAATCAGTCTTACACCAGTGTCGCTCTTTTGTCTTACACGGTGCTAATTCTGATTTACACCAGCGTGAATGGGAAAAGGATCAGGACTATCGTGCAGAGAGGGTCCAAACCTGCAGTAACTGCGGTAGGATGTAGGATGTGATACCCTCTTCCCTCTCCCTCGAGTCGACCTTTCCACGGGTGCAGAGCAGGTGCTTCCCAGTCAGAGCTCTCCACTCCCTTACCTCAGAGGGTACATTTGGCCCTTGCTTTGCACGGATGTCAGTGACCATGCTGGGGGACAGTAGACGAGATTCAGGCCTGTTGGGCCCCTGCTGTCATATGTACCCTCACCACATCCCTGGGCGGGAAGGAAGTTCAACGATCCCCAGTTTACAGATGGGAACTGAGGCCCGGCCAGACGACGGTACATCTACACGGGGAGACAAGCTCTGCAGCACGGCCGCAGCTGGCCTGGGTCAGCTGACTTGGGCTTGAGAGACAGGCTCCGGGGCTGAAAAATTGCTGCACAGAGTTTGGGCTGGGGCTGGAGCTGGGCTCTGAGACCCTCAACCCACACGGGGTCCTACAGCCCCAGCGCCAGCCTGACCGTCTACACAAAATTTTTAGCCCCTTAGCCTGAGCCAGCTGACCTGGGCCAGCTGCGGCCAAGTTGCAGGGCTTGTATCCCCCATAGACACACCTGAAGTGACTTGCCCAACATCACCTAGAAAGTCCGAACCCAGGTCTCCTGCATCCCAGAGTAGAGCTTTAAATGCTGGACTATTGCAGAGGGGAAAACGATTTTCTTTGTTGGCGGGGCGGTGGGGCAGAAATGCTCATTTTATTTGAAGGGAAACGTGTGGCTTTTAGCCCCTACCTATGATCTGCTAGGGGGACTATTATCCTGTCTCTAAATACCCAGACATTTAGATCTGTCATTCCCTCACTGAGACATGACAAAGATAAGCAAAAGATGCCATATTTGTGAGGCCTACTCAATATCAGTGATACTGACCAGGGCAGGACTAAGTGGGCAAAGCCTGCCCACTTATTTCTTACCCAGGATTCGTTCTTCCTTTGCTCATTCACCAACTTTTTAATGAAAAGAAAGGTCTGCCACGCTCTGTCTTCCTTTAAAACTGTGATCGCGGTCCCCTGGGTTTTCCTGCCGGTGAATTTCTTTCGCACTGTGATGAAGCTGGAAGATTGGATCCATCTCGTCTCAGAGCCCGAGTCAAAGTTTCAATGAATTTTTTTTTTTACTAGTTCCAGTTTGCAACTTGGTTTTGTAATGAGGGAACAGGTCTATTGGGGCTACTGGTTTTGGGAGGGCTATTGGCCCATTATTTAAAATCAAGCAGACCAATCGAAATCAGCAGAGACCTTATTAAAATAATCTAATGGGGTCCTATGGAATTGCATTTGGGAAGCTGAACACATTTTAAAGAAAGTCTTTAAAGGAAAGTGATTTTAATCCCATGATTATGTAGAATCATCTGTAGTTCTCACTTACAGATGGTAGCAGGGATGTATTTGTAAATTGTTTTATGTTTCCAGCACTTTTCTCCTGTATCAGACAGTTCTTTAAAAGACTTATCTCCTGCTTCCGACTGGTGCAGGAGAAGTATAGTCTTAGAAGATGCCTATTTAGGGAGATTAATCTAGACAGAATGTTGCTACATATCAGATCAGACATGTCCCTTTGCTTGTCGGAATCACACAAGTCATTTAAAGTGTCGCTGTCCTTTCAGCACTTTCATTTAGCAGAGAAGGAACCGGAATCCATCACTCAGTGGGGGGGGGGGGGGGGGGGGGCACAGTCAGCTGGGGAATGATTAAATAAAGCCCCTCGTTAGGGCAAACAGGATTAAACCACTGACTCATTTAATAATGTGAAAACCTAATATCACATCTCAAGATTTCTATAGCATCAAATCCTTCCAAAGTCCCTCACAAACTGTTACATGCACAGAATTCACTTCATTTATTACTTACAAGCAGCCACCTCTGGGGTGGAACATGACAGCTGGGCAACAGCCCATAGTAATTCTACATTTCAGTATAGTACAGGAAGCTAAGGAAAGCGTGGATGGTGTTCTCACTGACTTCAATAGAGTTACTTGGATTGATACCAGTTGAAAATCTGACCCTGGGATTGGATGACAAACTATTGAGGATTTCCTCGGTTTACTAAAGTAGCCCAGAAACTCCTTGAAAGGAGCTGCTCTCTAGGGGAAGGCCACAAAAATGCAAAAGGAAAAGGGGAAAAAAACCCTCTTATGCCACAATCATTTTCAAACAATTCGGGATGCAGGATCTGAATGGAGCTTGGGCAAAGTTTTGCATCGGTTCTCATTTCCCCCGCTCTGTAACAGTGGGGCTGGATCCTCAGCGGGTGTCAATCGCCAGAGCCAACGGGGCAGTGCTAACGTGCACTAGTTGAGGATTGGGCCCAAGGTGGCCAGACCACTGAGGGTTCCTGACAAGAAATTAAGGTTTTTGTTCTGCCTGGCTCTGTTCCAACCTTCCTATATAAACCAGACTTCCCCTCATCCACTTGAGGAGCTCACCTTGCCACCAGGGGGAGTCAGAAATGGCCAGCTCCACTGCATCCCATAACACCACCGTAAGAAATAGTTCAGGAAGGTTTTAAACACTTTGGGGATCTTTTATTCTAATATTTGCTGGGCCAGAGTGTGAGTGCAGCACGTACCGGAGCCAAATGTTGGTGCACTGAGACAAGGCATCGCACCACTATCATATCTCACTTTACCAGATCTTAATCAAACAGACCTTGCCAGGCCAAACTAGGGGCCCGATCCTGTTCTCATCAAAGTCCATGGGAAGGACTGTGTCCTATGTTACTGTGCTACAATACCCTATACATTGCTAGGGCTTATCATTCTATTCCCATTCCAGAAATTGGCCAGACCTAAAACCTGGGAGCCGAGCTTCTACAGTTTAGGACCCAGATCTGAAGTTTACATTTGTCCCCTAATGCTACCATAGGCCCAACCAAAATCCCACAAGCCCCCAGACTTCAGACTAGAAACCAAACATTACATCTTAGGCCATATCAACCTGTTTCCAACTTAGGGTACCATCCCATTCAAGACCAGACCAGATGCTCCTCTCTTTCCTCCCTGGTTTGTGCTTACATCAATCCCCTGGGCCTACTTCTCCTCTTAATCATGCTGGTATTAATCTGGAGTAACTGTCCTGAAGTCAGTGGGGTTACTGCAGTGACAAAGCAGAGCAGAATCAGGTCCTTTGAGCTCAGGAGAGTTAGAAGCTGGGGAACGGTAGAGCTGGGAGGCCAGGCTGACCCTGGGAACTCAGACCAAGATCCTTCCTTCACATCAGTTCTCTCTCTCTCTTCCCAGCCGGGAGGGTGGAATGATGTTTGCAGTGTGCCAGCCAGACGTCCCCCTGAATGCTCCATTCCATGAGGGCAAGCGGGACCCCACGCTGGGCACGGCCTTCCTCGCTGAACGGGAGCTCAGGCAGGACAAGAATTTCAACTTTGTGGCGGAAGGGTATGACAGCAACGAGAACTGGAGCCAGGTGGTGATTGGGACCCGGATGGAGGGGGGCTCCGGCCAGATAGAAAACACAGCCAATAATCTGGTGTTCTTAGTGCAGAGACAGACAGCTCAGGGCAGGCTTAGGGATGCTCCCCGAGGGCTGAAGTCAGACAAGCTGGGACTCTCCGAGGAGGACGTGCGCAGCCCCCACAAGGGAGCCGAGCTCAGTGGTGCCGAGAAGGAGAAAGCGGCTACCGAGGACATGGCCAAAGAGTGTGGCAAATGGGCTGGCTCCCCCTTAGAGGACAATGGCTATGCCAGCAGCTCCCTCAGCATCGACAGCCCCGACAGTATCACTGGCAATGCCTGGGAGGCCCCCGCTGCCACCACCAAAGACCCGAGGAACCAGCCAGCGCTTCAGGTGCCCGACGCTGATTTCGAAAACTCCTCCAACTTGGACACGGTCTTCCCGGTGCTGGCCGAGGCCTTCCAGAACCTCCAGGACAAGATGAGGTACAAGGAGCGGGAGAAGGAGAAACACCACATCCACCTGGTGATGTATCGGCGCCTGGCCCTGCTGCGTTGGATCCGCGGCCTCCAGCAGAAAGTGGTGGACCAGCAGAACCGGCTGCAGGAGAGCTTCGACACCATCCTGGACAACCGCAAAGAGCTCCTCCGATACATCCAGCAGGGCATGGTGCGTCCCAAAGCACCAGCTCACGCTGGCCTGTGAAAGAGGCTCATTCCCCATCTGTCACAGTTAGATCTGCCCACCCCCGCCCCCCGCAACCCTTACCCGGCTCTAACCAGTTGTTTCGTCTGAGCACAGCATCCAGGATTGGGCCCCACCGAGCTTTGCAGTCAGCTCCCAGGTTCTGCACGGGAGGCGGGCATGAGATGCTCTTGCCTTGTGCACCCAAGGATTTAGTGAAGTGTGAGGACACCCGACCTGACGAATGCCACATGGTATTTATGAGCGGGAACAACGTAGCTAGAAGCATGTTCCCATCCATTTCCATGCATGGCTCTCGCTGAGAGCACAAGTGAAAAGTCCAAAATGTGCCCCAGCTAGTGGTTGAGAAGTCAGGGAACGGGAGGGGCTGGTGCCATTTGAAATGAGCCTGATTAACCCTTTCTCAGCCCAACCCCCTCCCCCGCCCCACCATGCTGCATATTCCTTTAGCACAAACAATTAACCCTTCGCCAGCTGATTAGCAGCCAGGATTCACCAATGTTCCCAGGACCCCAGTCTCACTGGAGATCTCACCTGAGACCTGGGGTCACTAGTGAATTGGCACAGGCCAGTCAGCAAGCTAGTACCTGATTAGTTAGCAAGAGGGTTATTTCTGGGTGGAATGTTCCATCATAACAATACCCCTAAGGACGGTCTACTACTGTCAATCTACTGACCACTCTTAGCATCCATCCCACCTCCTTATCTCTCTCTCTGTCCATCACAGCTGAGCTGCCTACTCAGAGGTCCACTGAGTGCCCAGAGGCTCTCAAATTTCACCCTAAATCCATGACCATTTAGTCCCACTGTGCTTCGAAAGTGAACAGCTCATCAGCAATGTCATAGCCTGGCTCCTCTCAAAGGCCTGGGTCTCCCCAACTGGCTCTGCAATGCCTCCTCTAATCTCTTTCTCCTCCTCCCCCTGCAACAACCTCTTCCCCCCAGCTTCGCTATGTGTGACTGCTCCCCCTCTGGACCGGCCAGCACAGCTTCAGCCGCTCTCTGCATTGGCTGGATAGCCGTTCGTCAGGGTCCCCTCTGCAGACAGCTCCCCTGGCTGCTGCTACCGCTGTGGCTTTCCCATGCCCATGCTCACCCTGCCTGCCTCTTCCAAAGAGTGTTCTCTAGACCCAGCCTGTTGGGTCTGTTGGTTACTACAGCTCTGAATGGGGCACAATTCTCTTCACAATCCAGCTTTGCTGAGGCTCATGATCTGATACTGATCTTTGAAACTCTCCCTGTAATTCTTTGAATTAACATTTTAAATAAGGAATCCTATTCACCATGGCTCTGCAACATTAGGAAGGTTTGGAATTGGCCCCCAAGTACGTCTTTAGCTTGGAGTGTGAATCTAGACATGAAAATTGCCATTAAAATCAGAGATGGGAGAACTCCACAGGCCATTGTTAGAATCCACTGGAAAACTGTGACTTCTGCACTGAGATCTGAATTCACAGCTTTTAGGTTGAAGGTTTCATTTGGGTTTTGGCCTTCAGAGTTTTCCCTCCTCTGGTTGTTCTAGAAGCCACGATAAGAACTGCTGGAAAAAGAGAATCTTTATTCATAGATTTAATGGCCAGAAGGGACCATTGTAATCATCCAGTTCTAGTCTGACCTGATGAATTGCAGGTGTCAAAGGTGCTGTGCAGTCAGGTTATTGTTTGCATTGCACAGGCTGCCAGTTTCTTAGGGAACTTTTTACCCCATCTCTGTACCATCTACTACATCTCCCATGAAAAACAACACTTAAAATGAAGGGGGAAAGGTGTTTGAAAGAGCCCAAATCAAACCTTGAACCATGAAGCTCATGGAAACACTAACCCTCTGCTGGATTTTCCCTTCTCTAGCTTAGATCGTAGGGCCTGCATTGGAGAGTTGAGATGCCAGATCAGGCTGTTCTGTTGGTGGAACATATAATTGCAAGTGGTGTATGCTGCTCCCACATGTTCGCTGCTGCGACGGGAATGAGCTCCCGACTATTGTGTGTGTCTTGCGTTGACAGCCAATGCCTTGTGAGAAACAGATTGTACGTGTCCAGCAAGCTCTGTAGGAATCGATGGGTTGCATATGCTTGGGGATTGTAATCTGCAGCAGTGTGTGATGTGCTCTGAGTGTAAAAGTCCATCTGGTGACAAAGGCCCTTAGTGCAGCAAAGCATTTCAACCCATGCTTGAGTTCCTCCCTATTTGGCAATGCACGTAAGCCCATGCTTACTTTAAGCATGTGCTCAGACTGTAAAGGCCATCTGACCTCCTTCACAGCACGGCCAGATAATTTCATCCAGGGATTCCTGCAATAAGCCCGGAACTTCTGTTTGAGCTAGAGTGTGCCTTTTAGAAAGATGTCCAGTCTTGACTTAAAGGCTTAATTCCCACTGATGTCTAGTTACGCATGAGCTTAACTGCTTTGCTGACTTGAGATGGGCTAGTGAATTGGGGTCGAAGAGAGAGACTCATACTACTAAGAACTGACCTCAAAATGCTTTAAAATAGGGTCAAGTTTCATTTAACTCTAATATTTTTTTCAGATTCAGTATTACAATATATTGATTTAGATTTTTTTATTACACGTACACACACACACACACATCCCACATACCCCTATCTACCTACAGTATATATTTAAAAACTAGGTGCCAAATCAGAAAAATCCCCTAGTAATAACCTCTCTCACAGCCGTGCTGTTCATGTTCTATTAATTTATTGTTGTAAAGCAAAGAGTAACTTTTCTAATCCATTTTTCCAATGAGAAATGCACATACAGAGTATAAGAAATATGAGAGAGATTAAAAAGAGACCATTGTGTTTATTTGGTATATTTTCTTAAAAGTGAATTTGCTCCATATTCTTATTATTCTATTTATTGTACTGTTCTAGGGGAGGCCGTGTGGTTTAGTGGCAAGAGCAGAGGCCTAGGAAGTCAAGAGACCTGGATTCTGTTCCCACCCCTGCCACTGACCTGCTGGGTGACATTGGGCGTGTCACTTCACCTCTCTGTGCCTCAGTTTCCCCATCTGCAAAATGGGAGTTATGGTACTTAACTTAACAGAGTGCTCTGAGATGGACAGATAGATGAAAATTAACTATGTATTATTATTATTAGATTATATTCCATGCTCTCTGCACCTTCACAAAGCTGCCGTTGATACCTGCAATAACTTCCATTTTGCACCACGTTTCTTCATATCTTCCAGTAAGCGGAAGCGAGGATACGGTCCCATAGCCCTTTCGTGTGTAGTTCCAGGAAAGTCAATGAGACTAGGCACGTGACTAAGGCTTACTCGTGGGAGAAGGGGTTGTAGCATTCAAAGCTCTGATGCTGATCCTGCAATCTTGATGCATATTTAGACTGTAAGCTCCGCCTTCTTGTTAGATAGCTCTTCTGCACCTAACACAACAAGGCCCCAATTCTTGACTGGGACCTCTAGGTGCTACCACAATTTCAACTAATAATAACTGAGTCAGTGGGGACTGCAGGGTCAGGTCCTGTAGAGAGCAGGGAAACCCCATTGCTGTAATAATGAAACACCTGTAGCCTGAGTTTTGACCCTGAAAGGATGGAAAAGATGAGCTAAAATGGGCGATTTTCTTTAAGAATCAGTTTTTAAAGAGGCAGCATTCAAAATGCAAGAAAGTGACCAAATCTTGTCCTGGCAGCAGAGAAGAAAACCTGCAACAGATTTCTTGCCATCTGCATCCCGGCCAGGAGGACTCCAGCCTCTTTGTGAGGAAAAATACCTTGCTCCTCAAAGGGCATGACTGCTTTCATGTTTGCTTCTATTCTAGGGCCTGCTGGCTGTTGTCTGTATCACTGACATGCTAGATCATGAATTATTATACATATTAATAAAGTTTGGAGATAAAAAACACATCCCACAAAGTACTCCTTTAATACTCTTCAACAGCTGGCTATCGTACTGTGCATGATATTTTCATCCTGATCCTGTTGCATGAGGGTTAGAACACCAGGGGCCTGCTTTTACCTCACTGGTAGAACTGACAGAAGGCAATATACATTGTTGCAACAGAGGTTCCAGCCTTCACCTGCGTTTGGTTCACGTGTGTGGAGACAGAGCTGTACGAAAGAGCATCTTGAGAGCTACCAGTGGGAAGTGAGTATATGGCACTGGGTACTGGAGTGGTGCTGCAGTGGTAGCATATTGACTTTGGACTAGAGGAGAATCAAGGTCACAACTTGAGGGTAGAACTGATGTAGAGGGTGTCATGTGCTCAGCACCATGCCTCTCTCCAGAAGGACCTCCTTCTGGTCCATGCTCAGAGCACCATCAGTGGGCAGCCTTGTAACCTTCTCCTCCAGCCCAGGCTGTGACATGGGGCTCTTGATGGCTTAGATAAAATCAGAGCCAACCCTAGTCAATACGGGTCCAATAAATATGGATATTGCCCTCAGCCTCTGCCAATATCCATTCATTATCCCCATTTCACAAATGACAAACTGATGCCTTGAGACATGAAATGACTTATACCCAAACTCACGTACAGGGTCGATGGCCGATCCAGGAAGAGAAGCCAAAAGTCCTGACTTAAAATCCCCTCCTCTAACACTAGACCATGATCCCTTTCACTTGGGTTTCTGGTGAGGACGGTTCTCCTTAGCTCCTTCCATGGCCCCACAACAGGGTCTGTTCCCTGCCCCAGCCCTGCTCACTGTTAAGTATGGGCTGGCTTTAGAGCCCTTGAGGTTCCTGACTGAACTGGTGTTGTAGAGCTCAGCACCCCCACCCACCCCCCCGGTGCTTCCATAATACCCCATAAATAGTGCCCGAGATTCACCGACTCCCTGGCGTTTATGCATCAATTTCACTCACCTTGCCTGCTGGTGGCTCATTTCAGGGCAGTTGCTGCTTTCCTTTCTCTAGCCCCCACCCAAGGCAGGCTAGGAAAACACCCAAAAAGGCACTGGCTGTCATGTTCAATTGCGTAAACTGCAGGACAAAACATGGCAAGCAGAGAGCAGAGCATGACAGAGAGTGAATAAAGCTTGCCCCGTCAGATCAGCTTATCATAGCCGATTACAGATAGCAGGAGCTACTGTCCCAGAAACCTCAAGTTTCATGACTCATGTCAGGAAATTAACAGACGGGTTTTCAAGCAGGAGTGAGAGTTGGGCCCTGTGACAACGTGGCACATCTCACGTGGCAGCATGGTATATGACCTGAAAAGGTGTGGCCATGCAACAATGTGGCGCATGTCATGTGACAGCATGGCACATGACCTGAGATGGTCCAGCTATGAGACAATGCGGCCCAGGTCACGTGACAACATGGTACGGTACCTGAGATGGGCCAATCACACCAGAACGTAGCATATGATCTGAGAAAGTCTGGCTGTGTTATGGCATTTGCACGTGGTCAGATGGAGTCCAAGCAGGGACATGAACTGATTCAGGCTGAGGCCTTGTCTGCACGGGAGATCCGCCCTGGTGTCAGACTTCGATACCTGTCCAGTGCTGTAGGTGCATCACTGCAAACCCTCCTGCTTGCAACTGGGATGAGCTGCACCTGGGGCTCACCTTGTGTACACCAAGGGGTTCAGCTGTTGCAGCTGGCTGGTGGCTGCCGGTCAAAATGCCTGGAATGGAGGCCAGTGCAGACAAGGTTTCACACTCCCTGAAGGCCAGTGTCCTTTTGGAGGAACCATTTTGCATTGCATCTCCCAGATGGGACATGAGCCCGTCGGACACGTCAACAGCAACGGTTTCCCACCTCCTGAAGACAAAAGCTGCCGCAGGGTTAGGCGCAAGATGATTAAAAAGCCAGCATTATCCAGCTGAACGGCTCACAGGGCTGACAGTGGGATAGAGGGTCTTCTATCAACAGGGACCTGCTCTGCACCCAGGCCATCTGACACATGTTCGGGAATCTCTTTGAAAATCAATTGGTTGATCTTGATTCATTTCTAGAAGACAAGGGTCCATGTTACAAAACCACCACAATATTTGCCCCACTGACCATCGGCAAATTCAGAAGAGAAACCAAGGCCTGGCTCCATCTGGGGCTGAGCTCACCACTAGGCAGAGTCATTCCGAGTCAGCATGGGGGAAGCTGATGTTGCTGATGCTTGGTCTATATCTACTCTGTGGCTGAAAAGGTGGAGTTCAGCCTCCAGGGCTGGTACAATAGCAATACCAACCGGCCAAAAAGCAGACATGGGGCTAAACCAGAAGCTCAGGATCCCCGCCCCATGCCCCCAAAGTAGCACTTCAGACTTTCCAGGTATATCTCTGACACGAAGGCCAGCAATCAGTCTGCCTCCCTCTCTGTTCATTTACCTAACTGGCCTTACCATCAGCTGGTGCAAAACAGAACTATAAACACCTGCACAGAAAGGCCCAGAGTTGTAAGAATTCCTCTCTGTGATCCTCCGCACTTTGCACGTACAATTGTGCGCACACAGTCCCCGCAAGGGCATGTGCAGAGCGCCAGCTGGACTGACGTCACAGACGCGGTGACGCTTGTAAAATACTGGCGGCCATTTAACTTTTAAAAATCCAAGACAGAGGCTGCTCCCCACCTCCCAAGCGTGAACAAAATGGAGCTGGTGCTAACGTCTGTGCTGTTCCCGTGATCTTGTGTGGTTGCGTTATTTACCATCCTCCTAAACCAGGGTGACTGGATTCCCTGAGCTCCCCGGTCCCACCTGCCCTGCAGCTGTTGGTTAATAAGGAAAGATGGGATGTTTGCTACAGGCAGATGGGTGGCAGATAAAACACCTGAGTATTGACCTAAAGGTGACTTTGCCTGGGGCACTGCAGAGATTAAATAGAGATAAAAAGGGAAGCCATACCAGGCCTTCGAACCTTCCGTCACCTTTCCCCCCTCTCCTTTGCAGCCCCGACAACCTGTGGGAATTCAAAGCTGCCGTGGCCCCTTTTAAAAACAATGCGCACACACAAACCTAGGCTCTGTTTGGGACCTAGGGACGGGTGTCTCAGGCGGGGTGGCTTTGGTTTTATTCACCGCTTGGTGGGAGCTCTCCGGAATTTTGTCCCTCAACATCTGCCATTTTATTAGGAATTGTGTGTGCTCTAACTTTATTTGTCTAAGGAAGGAACATTTTCCATTTTGGCTTGAGCTCTAATTCCAAGCCTGCCTGCCTGCCTGTGGCACATTCATTCAGACAGGGGCTCTGCAGGATTAAGAGAACATTAGACCCTGGGCTGTCTGCTGTCCTGACCCGCAGAGAGAGCGAGTGATTCTCTGTTTATCTTGGTCGAGTGTTTTATATAAATAATTATTTCCAAGGTAAATATTGTGAAAATCCAGATTATTTGCTCAAGAAATGAAGGAATAACTCAGGGAGCAGATCAAAGGGGTAGATCTGCTCCGTAAACAAGAGGCTTCCTTCTCGGTTATTGTGAAGTTCCCTCTGCTTACGCCCTTAGTGCTGTCTTTTAGAGAGCCAGTTTTGATTTGCAAAATCAACCTCATACTGAATTTTCAGCCTCCTCTAAATACCCAAACAAGATTTGCAAATTAATGAAAACCCCTCCCAACTGCAGGGGGGGAAAAGCCTGACTGCATGCCAACTTCAGAGTCCACCAGGGCTCCTTTACTATTTCCAAGACACTCAGATCTAGGAAGATTATAACTTTGCAAAACAAATTCCCTTCATGCCTGTTTTTACAATCGGTGGCCTCCATTATCAACCACACCCAGCCTGCTCTTTTCAGCCTCCCACTGTCCCTGTCTCTCTAAGATGACTATCATTGCTGCCTTTGCACTATCGCTAACCTTTGATCTGCAGGGCAGGCCAGTGACCTCCCTTCTTTCACTGGCCAACATCAATTTTGCTCCCAGCAGGATAGATACAGCAGGCAGAGGGCCAGAACCTCACCTGGTATAAAGGGGAGCTGATTGACACCAGCTGAGGATCTGGTCCAGTGCTTTGTCTGTCTGCCATTGTCCGTGGAGAGGCAATGAACCCAGCGAGGTCTCCTTGCCATGCCCGGGTATGGGATTGCATTCCCCATCTCCCTTGCACTGCTCATGCATTTGAGGCCTGCTGTTTAGAATCGCCTCCATGGTGGGGTTTTTAGTTCATTTTTTCTTTTTAAATCACACGCTGTTTCCCAGCAAACGTAACCCCAGCTGATGCAAGTCTGACTTGCGCTGCAGGCACTGGAAAATAAATACAAAAGGGAGAGGGAGGATGGTCCTGTAGTTAGGGGTCTTGGGTTCAAATCTCTGTTCCACCGCAGACTCCTTCAGTCATTTTGTTTCTGTGTGTCTCAGTTTCCCAGCTATAAAATGGGGATCGTTGCCCTGTCCCACGTCGCAGCAGTGTTCTGAGGGGGAACACACAGAAGATTGTGGGGGACTCGGATACTCCAGCGTCAGGGGCCATGTAAGTACCATGGAGAGACGAGACACAATGAAGAGGTAGTGGACAAATGTGATGCTGAACTTGGGAATGACCAACCTGCAAGGAGACCTGCCTTTCTTCCCCGCCACCCCCCCCAAATTCTTTTAACAAGTGTTCTGGCCCAATCCCACCAGCATTCGGCACGGGGAAGGATCGCAGGGTTGGTCCCTTCGTGATGAAACATAAAGGTGATGATCCGTTAAATATTAACTTAAATATTTAAGTTATATTGCCTTTCATGGCAAAAGGTTCTCAAAGCTTTACACACTATGGGCCTGAGTCTGATCTTGCATATGTTTGGCCATTGACTTTTGCAGAGGTGCTCCTTGTTTAGGGTCTGATCCAAAGTCCATTGCAGTTAATGGGGTTTGAATGTGCATTAGTGTAAGTGGTATTGTCAGGAGCCCTTGAAAGCCCCCAGGGCTCAGAAATGTGGCACTGTTCCCTGTACTTTGTAATGTCCTGGGTAGGCAAGGGGTGGGGC